GAAACCAGTCCCTGGTGCCAAAAGGGTTGGGGACCACTGGATTAGAAGACCTCCAAGGTCTCTTCCAGCTCATATTATTCTATATTCTGTTCTGTATGATTTTTCTGCTTGCACATGACCTCTTGAACTGCCTGGCTGTGGCCTCCAGGTATCCTTAGTTGCATCAGAAATGCTTCGAACTCTTGATAGGAATAAAAAGCCTTATAATAAATTATATAAATGTTCTTACGAATTAATTCTTATGCCACTGTTTGAAGCAGGGTGGATAAAAATAAATGATTTTTTTTTAAAAAAATCAAAAAAATCAGATTTTTTTATTTAAATCGGATTTTTTTTATTTTTATCAAATTTATTTTAATAAAAAACTTTTGGGGTAAAAATCTATCGTGAGATAGTTTTCTATTTAAGATACATAAATAATTTAGTTTATTCAGCATGAAATGGAGCTTAGTTATGTAGATGAGGCTGTATATTCTGCAACACTGGGACTATCGGTGAGTCAACAGCAGGTCAAAGGAGTAGCAGAGATGACAGTTGCTCTTTAAAAATTATGATTTAAATCGAGTTGATTTAAATCAAGCCTTTTTACTAGTGATTTAAATCATGATTTAAATTGTGATTTAAATCAACTCGATTTAAATCAAATCCACCCTGGTTTGAAGATTCCCCAAAAAATCTGTTTTGACATATCCACAGGGAATAAAATTTTATAACCCAGGCCAGAGGGTGAATATGTCCCTCTTGAGGCTTTTTAAGAGCCTGGCATTTAGGACATGTAGGAAGCTAACTCAAGTAGCCCTTTAGATGACTGGAACAGAACAGTAAATGTTTCTGTAACTAGGACGGCCTCCTTTCTTTATTTTCAAGCTGCCAGTTGTATAACGAATGACTAATATAAACAGGAAAAAGGTTGTGAATGACTAGCTTGTGGAGAGTTGTGTTGAAAGATGAATCTGAAGGGTGTTTCTGGTTTGGTCTGAAGGTCAGGATGGGGGAATGTTAGATATGAATTATACCACTTAATATTATATACAATTTTTAAGAAAATTGGAAATAATAATTGATAAGTGAATTGGATGAAGAGCCTTGGTGGCACAGCAGACTAAAGTGCTATTAAAGTAGCACTTAGCTGCCAGCTGCCTGCAATTACTGCGAGTTCAAATCTCACCAGGCTCAAGGTTGACTCAGCCTTCCATCCTTCCGAGGTAGATAAAATGAGGACCCGGATTGTGGGGGCAATAAACTGACTTTGTATAAAAAAGAACACCACTTGGGGTGGGCCAAAAGCCCTACTAAGCAGGTATATATAAAAGTATGAAGGCTATTGCTTAACGCATTGTAAGCCGCCCTGAGTCTCCGAAGAAGCGTACCATATAAATCGAACCAATAAATAAATAAATTGAACCAATAAAGTGCTGCTTGGCACAGAGCAGAAATGGGAGGTAAAATGCTTCTTCTAATATTAGAAATATGTTCATGTTTATTGCTTTCCTGCCTCAGCTGGAATAAACCACAGTGATCTCAAATGGTGCTTTTTTTAAAAAAAGCAACTGGACTTTCTTGTTATTCTTTGAAGACGTTTCGCTCCTCATCGAAGAAGCTTCTTCAGTTCTGACTGCTGAAGAAACTTCTTGGTTGAGAACCGAAACGTCTTCAAAGAATAACAAGAAAGTGCAGTTGCCTCTTGAAAAAAGCACCTTTGGTATAACCATGACCTGGATGACTGAGAATCTCCATAGAAACCACAGTCATCTTTAGCGCTAGGAAAACTGTGGAAGAATTAATTTTGCCTGCTCCGCGGAGCGCGATGGCTCAGTGGTAAAAGATGCTGAGCTTGCCAGTGGGTTTGAGACCCAAGCAATGTGCGACAAGGTGAGCTCCCGTTACTTGCCTCAGCTCCTGCCCGCTTAGCAGTTTGAAAGCATGCAAATGCAAGTAGATAAATAGGTACCACTTCAGTGGGAAGGTAACCACATTCCTTGCACCTTGGCATATAGGCATGATGGCCACATGGCTGTGGAAATTGTCTTTAGACAATGCTGGCTCCCTCGGCCAAGAAATGGAGATGGAATTGGAAATGGAGCACCGGGCCCTAGAGACAGATACGATTGGACAGGGGAAACCTTCATCTTTTCAATATAAATGAGGTTTTAAAGGGACAATTCTATTGTCACTCTTAAGAAAATGGGGAAAAAATGCAACAGAAAGAACATAAACATGAGAGCAGGGAAAAAGAGACCTTATGAATATTTCCTTTGCAACCAGACACAATGCGCAGAAAGAAACTTGGTTAAATGTTTGGCTGTCATGTAGTAGTAGATTTAGTAGATCCATGGTGAACTGCTATTTATAAGGATGCTTGGCAACCGATATGTATTTATGATGATTTCAACATCTTGGGGTGATAGAAAGAGAGGGAGGAAGGGAGAGGGGGGGAGAGAGGGAGAGAGAGAGGTGAAATCCAGCAGGTTCTGTCGGAAAACCGGTAGCGGAAATTTTGAGTAGTTTGGAGAACCAGCAAATACCACCTCTGGCTGGACCCAGAGTGGGGTGGGAATGGAGATTTTGCAATATCCTTCTGCCAGGATTGGGGAGGGAATGGGAATTTTGCAGTATCCTTCCCCAGCCACGCCCACCAAGCCACCCCCACAGAACCGGTAGGAAAAAAAAATGGATTTCATCTATGGATGGATGGATGGAGAGAGAGAGAGAGAGAGAGAGAGAGAGAATAACTTTATTGTCACTTGAAATGTACGCTAATTGGCATTCATTAAAATGGAATTTTGTTGCATACAGCTCCCAAAGGATCACCACTTCCAATATACACTACAGTCATAAACATAACAAAAATAATAAATAAATACAAAATTATGCACATACTCACATATATTATATGACATTGTGATGTATGTGATTGCCATTTTCACCTTCCCAGCTGGCTTCCAACAAGCAAAGTCAAAGGGAAAAGCCAGATTCGCTTAGTAACCATGTTTTTCACTCAACAACTTCACTTAAATCCCACGGCAAAAGAAAGGCCATAAAATGGGGCACAACTCACTTAACAACTGCTTGCTTAGCTACAGAAATTCTGGTCCCAATTGTAGTCATAAGTCAAAGACTATCTTTCCCTCCTCCCACCCTTTTAATTTTAATACTGTTGTTATTTTTTTGCTTCATTACATTATTTTAATGCGTAGTAGTTTTAATGTTTCTAAGGTACCCAGAGTCATCTCTAGAGAAGATGGGTGGCACATAAATTTAATGAATAAATATTAAATAATAATAATAAATAAAGCATACTGGTTTGGATTAGAGGAGGCAATACATTGAAATGCCACAACTGTGTCTTAAGTAACCTGCTCTTTGACGCCCCCTGAGGTAAAAGGTAAAGGTTTCTCCTGTCCAGTTGTATCCGAGTCTAGGGGGCAGTGTTCCTAGCTGAGGGAGCCAGCGTTGTTCGAAGACACTTCCGTGGTCACGTGGCCAGCATGACTATATACCAAAGGCGCACGAAACCCTCTTACCTTCCCACTGAAGTGGTACCTATTTATCTACTTGCATTTGCATGCTTTCAAAGTACTAGGCGGGCAGGAGATGAGACAAGTAACGGGAACTCACCTTATCGCACATCGCCCGGGTCTCGAACCCGGGATGTCAGCTTTTCACTGACAAGCTCAGCCACTTTAACCACTGAGCCATCGCGCTCCATGGAGGAGGCAAAATTAATTCTTCCATAAACACTAGTTTTCCTGCAGCGAAAGATGACTGTGGTTTCTATGGAGATTCTCCGGTCATCCAAGCCATGGATGCATCTTTATGTTTTATATTATTTAGTTTCCTAGCATGATTTTGATTGCTTATTTAGTATCCTATGACTATCACTAAGTGTTGTATCTTATGATTTACGATAAATGTATTTTATTTTTCCTTCATGTACATTGAGAGTTTATGCACCAAAGACAAATTCCTTGGGTGTCCAATCACACTTGGCCAATAAAGAATTCTATTCCTATTCCTATTCCTATTCCTATTCCTATTCCCATTCCCATTCCCATTCCCATTCCCATTCCCACTCCCATTCCCATTCCCATTCCCATCCCCATTCCCTACTCTACTCTACCCTACCCTACCCTACCTTACCCTACCCTATCCTATGATTATTTTGTCCTATCAACTGAATGCTTTCTCCTTATGTTAAAAAAAAGAAAAAACTTTAGAAAAGCATTGTAACCTTTGAGACACATTGTGGCATGATATCTTTTCCTGCCAGCAGTTTCCAAGCGCTTCCTTTAATGCAGCTCACTACATCCTTAAAAGTCTCGGGGACCACCCTTTTAAATTTGTCTATCATGAACATATTAGATAACAGTCATTGCTACAGTTTGGGATTCCCATGTCCTAACTGCAAAATGATGCATAAAAAAACATTGGGTTATGATGATACTGCATAAGGAGCACCTATTAAAATTTGGAGGAAGTTGGGTTATGAATGTTTGTGAGTCAATAGCATTTCAAATAATCATGTCATCTCCAGTTTACTTAGCAATCAGCATGAATCGAAAATGGATCCTGGAGTACAAATTGGAGGTGATAACATAAAAATTGGTTGCTTGCTGGAACAAAGTTGGGGTAGTCCTCAATTTAGGACCACATTTGAGCCCAACTGTTGCTAAGCAAGACAATTATTATGAGGCTTTTTTTCTGAAGCTCTGTTTTGGAGGCATTCAGAGGCAGGAAAAAAAGGCTCTGAAACAGAGGTTTCAGAGACTGAAAAAAAAAGCAAGGCACAGAGCTCACAACCAACAAACCCATTGCTAAAATTCACCTCTGGGAACAGCTGATTGGGGGTATTCCGGGAGGCCGATCCACCCGCCAATCAGCTTTTTTCTTATTTTCCTCCCCAAAAACTAAGGTGCGTCTTATACTCCGGTGCGTCTTATATTCTGAAAAATATGGTAGTTCTGCAGAGGCCTTCAAACCTTTTCTCTTTGGACTTGCAGAATGACGACCTTCGAAATCTTGCCTTGTCAGGCCATGTCGGCTTCGACAGTCTCCCTGATCAGCTGGTGAACAAGTCAACCTCACAAGGTTTCTGCTTCAACATCCTTTGTGTTGGTAAGTCCCACTCTTGAGACACCACTGAAGCAATTTTCTGCAGTAATTTCCAAATGCAACAAGCTGGGTTTGTGATTCGGAATTCCTTCCTCTTAAAGATAACCATGTGTAAAACAGGAAGCACCACTAAGAATATATTAGCAGGATCTCTGCCAACGCCTGTGTTCACCGGAAGGGCAAATGGCACCACATCATACATATAATACCAATGACATCATTATGATACATAATTTGCATCATTTGCAAAATCAAACTCCTTCAGTGTTCAAAATGTGACATTTTCTACATTTAATTTAATTTAATTTAATTTAATTTAATTTAATTTAATTTAATTTAATTTCCAATTTATATACCGCCCTTCTCCCTGAGGACTCAGGGCGGTGTACAGCCAGAATTAAGAACATGAAATACAAATATTAAAAAACAATTAAAAATATATATAAATTTGGCCCTAAAATTAAAATCACAAACCAATTAAAACGTTTAAAAAAATTTCTTCTTAAGCCAGCCCGGCTTGCTGGAAAAAATGGGTTTTAAGGGCACGGCGGAAGGCACTGAGGTCACCCCAATTTCAGTTCCTTTGAAACTATTAAATTTTTCGGACAGGCAGTCCTTGATTTAGGATCACAGCTGAGCCCCAAAATTTCTGTTGCTAAGCAAGACAGTTAAGTGAGTTTTGCTCCGTTTTACGACCTTTCTTGCCACCGTTGTTAAGTGAATCGCTGCAGATGTTACATCAGTAATACGGTTGTTAGGAGAATCTGGCTTCCCCATTGACGTTGCTGGTTGCAAAAGGTGATCGCATGATCCTAGGATAGGGCAGCCATCATAAATACATGCCTCTTGCCAAGGACCTGAATTTTGATCACATGACCACGGGAACGCTCATAATTGTGAGAAATGGTCACAAGTCACTTTTTCCAGTGCCATTGTAACTTCGGGTCACTGAATGAATGGTTGTAAGTTGAGAACTACCTGTAATAGTTCGATTCCCAGACTTTTGAAGTTTGGAAAACTTCAAAAGTTAGGTCAGTATCCTTATGCACTCAACTTGAATTTGCTCTGCCCTGAGTTAATTTTGCTGTTGACTGCCCTAACTTTCTCAGCTTAGTCCTAATGTTTCAAACTAGGCAACTTTTAAGATGAGTAGAATTCAACTAAAAGAGTGCAGAGAACAGCAACAACGAGGATTAGGGGACTGGAGGCTAAAGCAAATGAAGAACGGTTGCAGGAACTGGGCATGGCTAGTCTAGTGAAGAGAAGGACTAGGGGAGGCATGACAGCAGTGTTCCAATATCTCAGGGGCTGCCACAAAGAAGAGGGAGCCAAGCTGTTCTCCAAAGCACCTGAGGGTAGGACAAGAAGCAATGGGTGGAAACTGATCAAGGAGAGATTCAACCTAGAAATAAGGAAGGATTTTCTGATAGTGAGAACAATCAATCAGTGGAACAGAAGTTGCCTTCAGAAGTTGTGGGAACTTCACCACTGGAAGCTTTCAAGAAGAAACTGGGCTGCCATCTGTCAGAAATGGTGTAGGGTCTCCTGATTGGGCAGAGGGTTGGACCAGAGGACCTCCAAGGTCCCTTCCAACTGTTATTCTGTTAACTTCCAGAATTCCCCAGCCAGTATGAGGGGTTAATACTTCTGCCATTATTAAAAGACTAATATGGCTTCCCCTTTTAAGAGACACAATTCTAACCGTCCACTGCTGAGGTACAAAACAAAAACACTCTAAAAACAATGAAAGTAGAGGTGAAATCCAGCAGGTTCTGGAGAACCGGTAGTGGAAATTCTGAGCAGTTTGGAGAACCGGTAGCTGAAATTTAGAGTAGTTCGGAGAACTGGCAAATACCACCTCTGGCTGGCCCCAGAGTGGGGTGGGAATGGAGATTTCGCAATATCCTTCCCCTGCCACGCCCACCAAGCCAAGCCACGCCCACAGAACCGGTAGTAAAAAAAATTGGATTTCACCACTGAATAAAAGCAAAGTGATTAAGGTATAAAAACCTAGCTTCCCAACCAATTTCAGACAAAGCAACTAGCATCACCATTTCCAATCAACCTCACCCCATTTAAACACATAGGGATTATTTCTAAGCATAAAAACTTTCAAAGTTCTCTTCGCAAATGTTATTAAGCCCTTGTGATACAAGAATTCAAGCTAGTGAACTAATTTCCATTTGTAACTAGTATATTCATATGTACATCAGGGCCAAGACTTTTCAAAACTGTTATTCCAGCTTTATGGGGCTCTGGAATGGAGGTCAGCACCTTCCCTGATAAAGAAGGAATCTACAGCAATGCATTATTTACATAATGGTTTCCTGACTTGCTTATCAGTCTGAGAAGCAAATTCTACAACCTAAATTATAATTGCAAAGCAGCGTCTGGATTTTGCTGCTTTTAAAAGCAGGGGGTGAAGTCCTACATTTTAAATGCCTCCTTGTATCTAAGCCATCTTTGGTTTGCAAAGTTGGGATAGTACAGAGAACAGACTTTTTCCTTGATGTTTTAATCTTCTACATGCAAATAATTTTATTCTTGTTAAATGTGGGAAGCATTTTAAAAAATGTAATAATTTACTAGGGTTTAGAGTTTTGTCATATTCCTCTACTTTAATATATTATAGAATAGGAATAGAACAGAACAGAACATTTTATTTGTCCAAGTGTGATTTGACACACAAGGAATTTGTCTCCGGTGCATAAGTGTACCACAAGAAAAATGGGTGATGTAAGATATTCTCCAGAACATATTTGAGCGTTTTAATCATATGAATATGTTTTAGATTCCTAAAGAACATTGGGAGTTGGATGTTTACAGGTAGTCCTTAACTTACAACCATTTGCTTAGTGACCATTTGAACTTACAATAGCATTGAAGAAAGAAGTGTACATTTTTCACACTTACGACCGTTGGAGCATCTCCTTAGTCACGTAATCAAAACTCAGATGCTTGAAAACTGATTCATATTTATGATGGTTGCCGTGTCCCAGGGTCATGTCATCCCCTTTTGCGACCTTCTAACAAGCAAAGTCAATGGAGAAGCCAGATTCACTTAACAACATGTGCAACTAACTTAACAACTGAAGTGATTCACTTAACAACGGTGGCAAGAAAAGTTGTAAAATGGGGCAAAATTCACTTAACAACGGTCTGGCTTAGCAATGAAAATTTTGGGCTCAATTTTGGTTAAGGCGAGGACTGCTTGTATTTTATATTTTTTTAGACACTAAAAGTTCAATTTTGGAGCTAGAAAAGGCTGATTCTATGTAATGTACAAATTACATTAAAGTGCAGCATTTTTTTTGCAGGGCTATTTAGAAACGGCTAGTTCTGAGGAAATTGGCATTTGATTGCAGCCTATTCCATGTGTGTTAGTTGAAATCATTTTCCAAAACTTTTTCAGGCTCTCAAGATTATATTTACTGCTTCTTCATTCACATACATTTGCGTTTGACTTTTGTGTAAACTGACTGCTACGTTTGATACTGTATCCTGAATTTTAACTCATGGTTTCCTCGTGATTGCTCGTGCAAGTTTTTTTTTTCTTTTGAGATACTGAAACAAATTTAAAGTTGGGATCAGAGTCACTGTGCCAAACAAAGAAGCTATGGAATATCCAAATCAAATGTCTCCAGAGATTTGAGTGTCTCTGGAATGCAAAAAAGTTGCTTCCTCCCATCAACATTAGTCTCTTCTCTTCTCTTCTCTTCTCTTCTCTTCTCTTCTCTTCTCTTCTCTTCTCTTCTCTTCTCTTCTCTTCTCTTCTCTTCTCTTCTCTTCCCTTCTTCCCTTCCCTTCTTTCCCTTCCCTTCCCTTCCCTTCCCTTCTTTATTATTGGTTCAATTTATATGCCGCCCTTCTCCGGAGACTCAGGGCGGCTTACAATGCATTAAGCTTCTCTTCTCTTCTCTTCTCTTCTCTTCTCTTCTCTTCTCTTCTCTTCTCTTCTCTTCTCTTCGAGTCAAGCTATTCTCCAAAGCACCTGAGGGCAGAACAAGAAGCAATGGGTGGAAACTAATCAAGGAGAGAAGCAACTTAGAAATAAGGATAAATTTTCTGACAGTGAGAAACATTGATCAGTGGAACAACTTGCCTCCAGAAGTTGTGAATGCTCCAACACTGGAAGTTTTTAAGAAGATATTGGATAACCATTTGTCTGAAGTGGTGTAGGGTTTCCTGTCTAAGCAGGGGGTTGGACTAGAAGACCCCCAAGGTCCCTTCCAACTCTGTTATTCTCCTCTCCTCTTTCTTTCTTTCTTTCTTTCTTTCTTTCTTTCTTTCTTTCTTTCTTTCCTTCCTTCCTTCCTTCCTTCCTTCCTTCCTTCCTTCCTTCCTTCCTTCCTGTGGTTAATCTGCTGCAAGCTATATAACCAAGTAGTTTAGTCTTCTAACTCCTCGGTGTGACCGATAACTGTCTTGAGACTTCTTGCATTCCTGAAAAACCATTTTTTGTGCGCAAGAGTGAAATAGTTGATCTCTGCCCTTTCTTTGGCAGAGATGAGCTATTCCCATTTCTGTCCCTTTATCTGATATCTGATTTGTTTTTACAGTAAAACTTCGTTTATTTCTTTAGAAAGAGACCAACATTGACTGAAGCCTTATGCACTTTAAAACATTTAGCCTGTGGAGACAGATTTCATTGTTGAATTCCTCTTTTTTTTTTTTTCAAATCAATGTTTTGGGGAAAAAATAACAGAAATTGCGCTTAGGGATATTTAAGGCATGCCAGGAAACTTCTGATTATAATGATGTGAAGCTGACAAAAATTAGTTGCCTTTTTTCCTCTTGCCATTCCTGTTCTTTGGCCAAATGCAATTTTGGAAATACAACTAGCAAAAGATGAGGAAGTCTGTTCAGTGCAATGTCATGACAAACAAAAGTTCAAGAGCCAGTACAGTTGGTCCTTCACTTATGGCCGGTCACTTAACAACTGGTTGAAGTTATGACAGACCCTCCCAAAGGTACTTACAACTGTTTCTAAAATTCTGATTAAT